ATTTGACGGGGCTTTCTTGAAAATTCGCAGACTCGAGGGCTTCTGTGGGCCCAGCTCTGTCCTGCATCTCGCTCTGTTCCTGTGTGCTCATATTGTGTTTGACCAGGGAACAGCGGGGAACTAAAAGTGAATCCAGGAAAGAGACGCTTTGAATCCCAAAGCTCTACGTTAGGTACTTAAGTATCAGACCCTGCCAAGACGGATTTTCCGTCCAGTCTTTATATTCTCCACGAGACTATGGAAATTCAACCCCATAACAGATGTACATAGATTATATATGAAATTGAGAAGACATCGAAAGTATACTTATTATAGATGCACGAAAAACAACTACATGTAAATTTCAACAAGGAACATGTCTGTCAAAGAAGAGTCGACTCAATCGCTACAAATTTGCTATTACTTAAGTAAAAAGTGAAGCCGAATTGCTCAGTAAAGTCACCGTGACAGTGGCCATTATTACCGAATCGGGCAGTTCGGCCAGCTTGTCCACTGTCCACTCTACTTACCTCCACACGAACACGAACCTCGGGCTTAAACCACGTATACTCCTCCCGATCGGCTAAAACGATCTCTAGATGTGGGTCGGCGGGCATTCCTCCTGAGCAAAAGAGGAATTTAGATCTCTGATCACTGTCATCGGGAAAGTCTTATTTCTTTCCCGGCTAAACCTTGGAACGCCACGAGAATTAGCTAACAGGGACCCTCGACCTCTGTGTATATCAAGAGGTACGACAAAACTCGATCCCAGAGCATCACCCCGATCCTCACCATGGACGATTTCACTTGGACCAAATCCCCGGAACGATGGGAACGCAATGTCGATGAAGCCGAACAATTCTACACCACCCTGGCCAGAAGATTCGAAGGCTCGGGTAGGACCTTTTTTGCTATGACAGCTCATGTTTCTTTCTCTGTTTCCAGCTTTCTAGATCCAGTGCCCGCACTTCAACGAGCGTGGCTACAGCTGCGTTATGACCATCCCACTATTGCCTCGTGGGTGGAATATGACCCCTCCAGTCACAGATGCAAGAAGAGGTACCAACCTTTGCAGGATGACTCTAGCCGTCAAGCCTGGCTTAATGAAACGTTCCGTATTATCACCACCGGTCAAACCGGAAAAGAGTGGTGTAATGCCGATCCCCCCGTGCCCAAGTTGCCAACGCTATTTCTCATTACTCGCGTGAATCCGACCGGCAACTACCAAGCAGATCTTGTGCTTCGATCTCAACATGATATCGTTGATGGTATCGGGTCTTTGCATCTGCTCAACAATCTTTTCAGACATGCATCTCTGTTTCTGGAGGATCCTAACTCCCCTCTACCTCCATTTGGTCATGAATGGGACAATCTGAGCCCGCCGTTGCGAGTAGCGGCCGACATTGCAGGAAACCTGGGGCCGGAACAACACGCCCGAGTAGAGAAACTGTCTAATTCTAATGCCTCGCTACGTCAGGGCATCGAGATCGTGAAACTGCCTTACCGGCAGGGACAGATGGTTCCGCGCCGTCATCAACGAATTGAGCTCAACTTGACTCTGGAACAGTCTCAAGGTCTTCTGCAGGCTGTCAAGCGTATCGGTGCTAGCGTGACACATGTATACCATGCAGCCATAGCCCTGGTTCTAAGAAATATCCAAGATCGAGGCCCCAGCGAGCGAAAGACTCGTTATATCAACTATTCTTTGATCAATGAACGTTCGCACTGCAAAGAGCCTTACAATACACCCCAACATGCAGCCACCGTATACCACTCCGTCTCGGGATCGAGCCTCGTGATTGACATGACCGTGCCTTCAAGCACTGATCAAGCACCGAGCATGGACAAAGTCAAGGACGAATTCCTCGACATAGTTGAACAAGTCAAACAATATTATCTCGGGATCCGGAATGATCAAGATCACATCTCACTCGTACCGCATTATTGGGCCCTCGCCACCCCAGCCTATCCGGCAGGACCAGAAGTTCCCCCCGTCCCAGCACCAAACGAAGCACCGTCGGTTTCTATATCCAGTTTGGGTGTCATTGACAATATCGTGGCTCCGACTCACGGTCTCTTTGAGATTGATAGTCCCTGGGTAACTGGGGAAGAATTGGGCACGGGGCTCGGTCTCTTTCTGGGCACTTTCAGGGGCCGTACGTGTCTTAGTGCTGCTTATAATGATGCGTGGCATGATGAGAATGAGGTCTCTGGGTTCTTGAAGGATTGCCATGAGTTGGTGGCACGTAGCCTTGGAGTGTAACGAGGCTTCACCGTTGGACTTGAAGGGAATCGAAGCCCTAACTCATGTAGCACTGTGAGAGATAAGGAGCGTTGGTGAATTTAGCAATTTGATTGTATGCTTTACTTCTCTTGTGTAGTAGCAGGTAGACTAAGTGCTGCTTTATAATACAGATCGTAGTAGGTTGGAAATTTCTAACCAATTTTTAATGGAATCCATAATAAAATTATAGAAATTTATTGTTCATTTAGAAAATCACTATTTTTCATTAAGTGTGTTTACTATTCGCCAAGGAAATCCTCAAGGAACTGCCAATATTATTGATGAAAACAGTTTCCGCTTGTGTAGCCAATACTGTCGACCGCTTTCATCCAATTGGCAAGATGGCCGAGTTGGTCTAAGGCGTCAGGTTAAGGTCCACCTTAACTCAATAACTGTTCTCAGTTTCCTGATCTACGTTTGTAGGCGTGGGTTCAAATCCCACTCTTGTCACTTCTTATTTTCTTTTTGTTTTTCCTTCTACCGGATGGTTTTTTTTTATACACATACATATTTTTCACACTGTGGTCTTGATGAAATTCTGAGTGATTGCAAAGGGTGGAGCCTATTCAAGTAAAGATATGCTAGATCTCATCCATGGATCATGCTTTTGTACAATTATTACTTATTCCAAGGTTCTATTAATTGAATATTGGGACTAACCTCGGAGGCTATATATGTACTGTGCTAAGTGGTATCTATATCTGGGTATTAGGTGGAGACATTGGTTTAGCCTACCTCAAAAGGTATCAGAAATCCTGGACATCAACAACAAGAAAGTTTTGAGCCACCTAGGCACAAGAGTGTAAAAGGGTAACCAGATAATGCCATCTCTCAACTAGACAGCCTTGGAGGGCACTATGAACAGATAACTATACAATCTATGGATCTTTTATTAGCGGAATCCAGAGTTGGCCTAGGCCCTGTCTTCCTGTAACTACCTATAGCACGGGAAGGAAGTGAGAAGGAAGATGTTGTTTGTTTTGAGTGCTACCTAAATATAGTAAGCGCCATGTGACAATATTGAGGGTATAGAGTTATTCTAAGGCTTATGATATATTTTTGGAATTTATTCCATATCTGCTTGGATTCTTAATATCAGTTATTGTAATGAGTGTACAGACGCAGGCGTACCACCTGTTAACCCGGTCGAAGACTAAAAAGGGAACCACTATGGATTTGTGTGTAATTCGAATGTTGTTCGTAAGGGAATACTTAAGTAGAGCTCCAGAACTATAGAAGGTCCTGGGGATACACACAATTGTATTCAAACACTGATTCTTGCAGTAGAAATAGGGAGCCTCCCCGGGCCCCTCTCCCTTCTGCAAGAATGACACTAGTATGATCAGGTAGCTAACCTTATACTGCTTACTGTAAGGTAATCCCCTCGGAGGGATCCTGCGCTCCCAGAATGCAACGGAGGGATACGGGCGGAGTTCCCTAGGTTCCTGCAGAGCAGGGTAGGGCAGCGTGCCCTAGACGAACCGTAGGGGAGCTCCCTGTGAATACCCGTCGATTCATATTAACCTTGTATGAAGTCGGCACTTCTTATAGTTATCCCTATAATGTGTTAGTTCCTGTGGTATGTGGTTCTATCAATTTGATATAACCTTAGAGCCCAAAGGCTAGTTTATACGAATAAGAGAAGCGGAAGTGTAAGGCTGGGAATACAAGGCAGTAGAAGATGATAGATTTCCTGGCTACCTTCTACTCCAGTTTTATGTATGCAATAGCAGGATAACAACATTAGTGAACAAAATAAACCAATATGTCTCGCGTCATTATATTGCATTTCTCAATCGGCAAATCCTATATCCAAATGAGCTCCTTCACTGTTAGGAAGTTTACTTCTTGTATAGAATCTGTAGGGTATCTGAGCCTCATACTCCAATCTTCGACTTGGAAAAGAGCCATCTCATATTGAAAACAAAGAAACAAAAATCAGAGAATCAGGTAGAAATGAAAATCAAAAAAGAAAAAAAGAAAAAAAGAAATGACAAGAGTGGGATTTGAACCCACGCCTACAAACGTAGATCAGGAAACTGAGAACAGTTATTGAGTTAAGGTGGACCTTAACCTGACGCCTTAGACCAACTCGGCCATCTTGCCAATTGCATGGAAGCGGTCGAGGATTATGGCTACACAACCGGAAACAATATCCAGGACCTACATTGCAGTACCGGTATAGTATTGACAGACCGCAAATCTTGCCTGTACTGTGTTTGGCCAAAAAAGAAAGAAAAAAGGAAGATGACTACTTCTAAATTTCTCTACCCAGCATTCCAGGCGCCTATCCATCTGCCCTCTAAGACACCTCTATTTCCATATCAATGGATTATATTGCCTCTGTTTTGCCGAGATACACGTAGATTAAAAGCCGTTCTGGGCAATGAAAATGAACATTGCTCCGGAAAGCACATGGCAGAAAGCGACAATGCAGTTGCGATGGGAATACCAGTAGTTGGAAGTGTCTGTACAACGCCCGTTGGTAGCTGCATGCCCAAACCAGTGCCAATATCGGCCATTGCGTGATACCCAATGTACTTGGTGCCAAAATCGGGTTCCAATTTTATGAGAAGGCTGCCGATGCAGAAATCATAGAGAATAGCATAAAAGGATTGTATCGGGAAAATCGTTTAAATATCTAGACATTGAGTGACAGAGTATGGCATAAAGGCTAATTCGATCTTGCGCATACCCCTGTTCGATTCGCTCAATACCTAGGCACTCAAGTACAACACTAAAGATTTGCCCCAGGCGAAAGCCACGGAGCGCACCGAATCCCCGGGATTTCCAGGACCCGATGGGACTTCCTGTACTCTATAAACTGACCGGCGCCATCCTCCGCCGGCTGGAACACCTTCGTATCGGCATCAAGCCATATTTCATCAAACCCAGACATTCGTAGCGCAATTTTCCCCTTGACCATACTGAGATCCAAGTCGATATAGAAGGGCTGACCAGCGTGTCCCTGCAAAACTCCCAGGGTCATGTCGTACACTTCTAATGTGACCTCCATCTCCAGAGTCTCCCTGTGTATCGACCCAGACACCTATTGAAGACCGGTCTGAGTATGTGCAGTAATTGAGTAGCAGATAATATTGCACTTACTGTAAATATGCCCGCTTTCGCAGTGAAAGGCAATCGATCGTTTCTCCTATATCCAGATAGTGTGGGGTTCACTACCTGGCTTATATTGTATCCATGACTGTTTCGGGATTGCCGAACAAGAAGAGCTTCGTTCCTGTCAGCTCGAAATGAATAGCGGGAGAGTGGAGGCCTACCATTGTGGAACATGGTGAGAGCTAAGGTTTATCAAGGATAGTCGCAGGTACTCGGTAGATCTAAAGTTTCAAGGTTGTAGGGTATTCACTTCAGTTCGATGGGAAACTCTTTTCAATTGGGCTTATTTATACATCGTCATCTCACAGATATTGATGTAATGTGATCAAGTCTTGTCATTTGTGGTTATAAATGGCAATGATCTACCTTTCTATGCAGTTTCTCGCCCAAACATGTACTTTGGACCTTGTCCATAGCTATCCTAAGTTGGACTTCGATTTCAGTATTGAATCACTCTGCATATATTTCACCAGTGACCAAATGCAGTCATCATGCACTCCTACCCAGTAGAAAATGCATATTACGATTCAATTAGAGGAAGAGGATTCGTCGGTGGACTTATTTAAGACCTATGGAGTACTACTCGTAGGAGCCCTAGGGGAGATTTCCGAACAAGCAGGCTCATGGGAGTATGGAGTAGCGGTCTGCAGGAATATAACTAGTTACAGAGCTCTTCCAAAGTGGGTATTTTCTCGCGTATAAAACATACATGTCCAAAATGCATTGTCCGTGCAGTGCATTGCAGGATTGCACGAGAAAAGAAATGTTTCAATAGCTCGGGACAGCCCAATTGAAGTATTAAATACTCATCTCCATAATCTTTTCCATATAAAGAGTACTCTGTACTGCGCCCAGAGCACCAATTGACTGGAGGCTTTGTTCGAACTCTGGGGATTTGCGGAAATATCTCATGGGTATACAGAGGACTGAAGAGAGCAGGTCTTGATGCCGGAAATTGTATGCTGTATCGGCCCGTACGTGTAAGGAACGAAGGTGCATCCGAATGGCAAACTGGCTCCGTGTCCCTGTGCACCAGCCAGGGGTTGACAGCGAAATCTCATTCGAATCGGACGGAGAATGAAAGCGTAAAAGTAGGTATCTGCTGACCTTTCATCACTTGGATTGCCCAGCACATAAACCACACCTACGGAGTACAACTACACATAGTATGTCCTGCAAATGACATCCATGGAGGGATGAAATATACAATTCCCATAATATACATTAACTGTAGACATCTCCCATGCCTCAGATATCCAACAGACTAGATAGTACAAGAAACAAAATATGTCACACCAAATCAGGCCCACTGCCGAGGGTGTCGGAGCACATCCATCAACTCCCTCTCACTCTTCTTATCCTCGGCCAGATCATCTTCATCTACAGGCATGTTCTCTGTGCGGGTACCGGAGACTGGGTCCATATAGGCCCAGCTAGCGGTCCGCGGAAGACTCATCAAAATGCTTTCAATGCGAGCGTTCGGCGTGCGCAATCCAAAGCTGGTGCCACGGTCGTAAACCAGGTTGAATTCAACGTAGCGGCCCCGACGAAGCTGCTGCCAGTGCTTTTGCTCGGGGGTATAAAGTTCGTCCTTGCGGCGCTCGATGATGGGCACATAGGACGGGAGGAAAGAGGCCAATCCATCCGAAACGAAGGAGAATAGAGTTTCCTGGGGGTTGGACGAGGAGCCGGCAGATGTTTGGAGGAAGTTGGCGTCGAGATCATCGAAGAAGATACCTCCGACACCGCGGCATTCCCCGCGGTGGGGAATGTAAAAGTACTTATCACACCAGGCCTTGAACTTGGGGTAGTATGTGGCATCATGGCGGTCGCAGGTGTCCTTGATGGTCTTGTGGAAGTGTTGGGCATCCTCCGGGAAAAGGTAAGTCGGGGTCAGATCGGTGCCGCCTCCGAACCACCAGTTCTTGTCTCCATTGATGGGATCCTTCGGGTCGGAGGTCTCGAAGTATCGATAGTTGAGATGCACGGTCGGGGCCATGGGGTTGTGAGGGTGCAGTACGAGCGAGAGGCCGGCCGCAAAGAAATCCAGCGACTCCACATCCGACCCGACAAAGGACTTGTGATCGGCACGCATCTTCTCAATGGCGGCCCGAGGCAGTTTGCCGTACACTACCGAGACGTTGACACCGGCCTTCTCGAAGACGTTTCCATCTTGCAGGACACATGAGATACCACCGCCGCCATTGGGGCGCGACCAGGTATCAGTCTTGAATTGTTGTCCATCGATTCTACCCAATTCCTCAATGATCTTTTGTTGGTGTTGCTTGATCAGCTTTTCCATTCGTAACCGCATCGGCGAGGAGTCGTTGATTTTCGAGGATTGCTTGAGGGCTTCATCTACTTCGACTATAGATGGAGCATCGAGTTCAGTCACTTCTTCTGTCATCTGCACTGAATGAGCATAGTTTCATATCGCATTTGAGAGGGGCGTGGTCCCACCATTGAGTATATGATTGCGCCAATGAACGGCACGCCAAACGCCAGGCGCAGATAGGGCCTCCAGACAGTGAATGGCTTTGGCTGAGGGGGTTTCTGTCCTGTCGAATAGCCACGGAATGCATGACCTGCACGAGATCCGGCAATGCGAGTGTTGCGGGCAGACAACTGAGCCAGCGACCTCCGCAGAGGTGCGTATGACCGGGTGGCCATTTTGAATTCGCAATTGGAGGGCACTATCCGATATTGACTGTCAGATCAGAGTGTGAACGGCGATTCAAGGAGGAGTGAGTTCAGATCTGTAAGGAGCAATGGCAAAAGTAGTTGGAACTGCAGGAAATACCTAGGTCAGTCCACCATTCAAATCGTACGACGTTTGTGTTGTTTGCATGGCTGAGATAAGCACGATAAGCGCCAGTGCTCTCCGGACCCAGTCGTCGACCGTGGATTACTACTTGCAGACTACTTGCAGTACTGCTTTCATGCACTGTTGGCACTATATTCAAAGTAGCTTCTGTGATATTATATTATATTGGAGAATGCAAAGAATCTATAAAATATAATACTATATTTTAGTATAGAAAACATACAAGTCTAAGAGAGAAGTATACACCTGATTCTGCCGCGTGACTCAAGTTCACCGCCCGTGGATCCCGTGATGGTATTACCGTAACGTCAGCGGGGGGAAATCGCCTTGTCATCCTCTATCACCCCCTCTTCATCATCCTCTCTCTTTCTCCTCTCTTCTCTACATCGAGAATCGACTTTACTTTCCAATATCTACTGTGAAAACCCAGCTCTCTGGTATCTAAACCCGACTCTCCACCCGACCCGCTCTACTTATCAACCCTTATCAGTCACGATGCGATCCAAGTTCAAGGACGAACATCCTTTTGAGAAGCGCAAGGCTGAGGCCGAGCGTATCCGCCAGAAATATGCCGACCGGATTCCTGTAAGTTTCTGAACCCGACACATCCGTCCCCCCCTGGAGAGTGCCAGGCAGCTACTCCCAGGTCCTCACCGCTTGTTCGGTAGCTAACGGGCACTCCACATCCAGGTCATCTGTGAAAAGGTCGAAAAGTCCGACATTGCCACCATCGACAAGAAGAAGTACCTCGTGCCGGCAGACCTCACAGTGGGACAGTTCGTCTATGTGATCCGCAAGCGCATAAAGCTCTCCCCCGAGAAGGCGATCTTCATTTTCGTGGATGAGGTCCTGCCTCCCACAGCTGCCCTCATGAGCAGCATCTATGAAGAACACAAGGACGAAGATGGCTTCTTGTACATCACGTATGTTTTTCACACCCGGTTTCTTGCCACAATATCTATTTCATGGACTTCCACTGACATAACAACTAGGTACTCGGGCGAAAACACTTTCGGTGATCTATAATGGTCGTTTAGTCTTTCTTTACTTTTTTGCAACAATCTGCTGTTCCAACCCTGGTGTTTTTGACTATGGGTGGAATTAGCAAGTGAGAAGGCTTCTGCGACCTCGGGATACACTGTCTGCTTTATTGGGGGGTCCCTGGCGTTTTTACTCGGAGTTCTATCTTTTGCTTAACGAATAGTATGCTCTTTAGCTGCCAATCCAAATCGACAACACAGTGGTCAATCCAAGTAGAAATGTCAATATCTATAAGCTCCACAATTCCTTAGTCCGATGGCGGCCCCGACATACCCGAAAGGGGACTAGCGCCCTCCGGTGCCGTACGATAAAATTTAAGTCCGACAACTCGTTCCTGGAATTATCGGCCCTGTCATTCTTCTTCAGCTTTTGGTCCTTTCCTTTACCATAATGTCTCCCGCCGCTTCCAACGATGTCAAGAAGGAGTCCGCCACTGCGCGACTCCTCGGTTCCGGTTTGTGATCCCCAATGATGTGTGGTAATCATGGTCTGACTCGTGCTCCTAGGCTCTGCTGGTATCGCCGAATTGATGATCTTCCACCCCGTACGCCTCAATGCCCGGTCAATGCAAGGCGAAGGTTCCGACAACTGACGTTACTAGGTTGATACCACTGCTAAGCGATTGATGAGCAACCAGACTCGCGTGAGTGAAAGACTGCATGACCCGTGGATGAGTCCATTGCTGACAAGATGGATAGATTTCCAACGCTGCCGCTTTCAAGGAGGTCGTCTTTAAGGAGCACGCCAATGCCACTATTGGTCGCAAATTCACATCGTTGTTCCCCGGTCTGGGATACGCTGCTGGTTACAAGGTTCGTTTCTTCTGCGCCCCTGACGAGGAATAGAGAACTCACTCTACGCAAATAATAGGTGCTTCAGCGAATTTACAAGTACGGTGGTCAGCCCTTTGCTCGCGACTACCTTGCGCAGCACCACGGTGCCGACTTCGATAAGGCATTTGGCAAGGGTACTGGAAAGGCCATCATGCACGCCTCTGCTGGAAGGTATGCTTCATTGAACTTTGGATATGCGACGTTACTCTAACACATTCTAGTTTGATCGGTATTGGAGAGATCGTCCTCCTCCCTCTCGATGTCCTTAAGATTAAGCGTCAGACCAACCCCGAGGCCTTCCGTGGCCGTGGTCTCTTCAAGATCATCGCCGACGAGGGTATGGGTCTGTACCGCGGTGCTGGCTGGACTGCCGCTCGCAACGCCCCCGGATCTTTCGCTGTATGTCTTCCTATCTGACTTTATTCCATTCGCATGATCACTAACTTTTCATCAGCTGTTCGGTGGATCTGCTTTCGCTAAGGAATGGATGCAATTGACCGACTACAACAAGGCCACTTGGGGCCAGAACTTCGTTGCCTCCGTTGCCGGTGCCAGTGCCTCCCTCGTTGTTTCCGCTCCCCTCGATGTCATCAAGACCCGTATCCAGAACCGCAACTTCGACAACCCCGAGTCTGGCGCCAAGATCATCTCCAAGATGCTCAAGAACGAGGGTCCCACCAGCTTCTTCAAGGGTCTCACCCCCAAGCTGCTGATGACAGGTCCCAAGCTGGTCTTCAGCTTCTGGCTGGCACAGACTCTGATTCCCGCTTTCGGTCAGGTTGTATAGAGACCGAGTTTTATAATTGTTTAGATCCCCCGTTTACCTTTTTTTACCCCTTTCTTCAGGTCTAAGACCGCTTTTGTATTTCTCATAGACATGTTTATTTCTACGGGGTTCTACTCAGGTAGCCACATTTTTTTGGAATGCGACGAACTCTTATACGAGCCCTAGGCTTACGGATACAATGAAATCACCGCTCTCAAAATGAAGCTCCTTTTTTTCAAGATCAATTCTATTGCATATGGACAGGAATAGGAATAATCACAAGAATATGACAGGATGTATAGTGGGAATATCACAAACAAACGAGAGAGAAAAAAAAAAAAAGAAAAAAAAGGAGACAACACTGGGAATTTACTAACCAGCAACAGCATTTCGTTGCTTTGCCAGCCAGCCCTTGGAATCCCCTGTGCTGCTTCCATGCCGATATCGTGAGACAGTCATGTTGTTGTTCTGCCAACGACTTTGAAGATGATACCAAGCTGAGCCCACGAGGTTCAGTTCGCGAGCCTGGTTCTCAATGATATTCTGAAGTTCAAGCTGGAGTCTTGGTCAGTTACTGCAAACGAATCTCCATGTCATGGACCTACCTCGCGCTCTTTGGGGATGCCATCGTCTAGGTTCTCTTCGTAATTCTTCATGCGCTCTCGAAGCGATTTGACGAGCTCGTTTTGTTGCTGGATGTACTGATGAAGAACGGCTTTAGTATACCAAAGATGCAGCAGGGATAGGGATACCAACCTCTGCACGTTGGGCGAGTCGTTCAACGTTCTTTTCCAAGACTCCAGCACACTGCTTGAGAAGCTCAAAGCTGGACTTCTGCGGTACTTCCTCACCCTCGCCATTGTGAATTTCGAACTCGCCCAAGAGCATTTGCATCTCTTTCATCACTTCCTGGTCTTCGGAACTGATCTCGCTTTGCTTGTTGTCAAGCATCTTGCGCAGTTCTTCGCGTTCGGCACACACTTCGCGCACAAGCGTCTGGCTGGCGTCTACCTCGGCTTCTAGATGGTGGACGTTATGTGTCAGGCTCTCCCAGTCGCCCCGTATCCTGGTAAGCTCGGTCGAGGTGTGCTCCTCGAGTCCTTTGAGCATCTCAACCTGTTCCATATTCACAAGACCGACTTTACAATGTTAGTCTGAGCTCAAAGGATGGAAGGTATGGACTTACGCTCGGCTTGGGTATCGGAGAGATCCCTCTTCGCTGTCTCCAGAGTGTCTTGCACTTCTGCAATCTTCTGGAGTGCGCTGGTATAGTTCTCGTATAGCTTCCAGTAATCCTCGCTGCACAAGAGTCAGATAGGCACAACAGTGTGGTGAGATAAGGTCAAACCTTTGCGAAGTTCCAGAGCGTGCCAACTGCACAGAGGCATTGAAGCTTTCAGAGAAGCCTCCAGTATGAGAGCCCGGCTAATTCAATCAGTAAACACCCAGATAGAAAACAAAAGATGAAGAATTGGCGAACTTACTGCTGAAGAGGGCTTGACAGATTCCATTTCCCGTTTCAAGTCATCGTTCTCGGATTTGCTGCCACAATTAGTATTAAATTCAGACCAAAGCCATTGTATACACACAGTTGCGACTCTTTCATGCCGATGGCCTCAAAGTCCTTGTGCAAAGTCCCTTGCATCTTCGACGTTTCGGAGCCGGGAGATGGGCTACCCGGCAAGCCATCTATTTCGCCGAGGCGTTCGCGCAGTTCGCTGATCAATGCATCATCTCTTTCATGTTGTTCATCTGCACTTTCTAGCCGTTCTGTCAGAGCGTGGTTGTTGAACTCGAGCTGTTTCTTCAAGTTCTGGATCTCATTGCACTCCTGCTCAACTTGAGGTAGCAGCTTGCGATATTCTTCCAATTCGACATCACGCTCGGCTGACCATCGTTGCTGTGAATCGGACTCCTTGAGCTGTTGCTGGATATCTTTGATCTGATTCTTGAGAGTCTGGTTTTCCTTCTCGAAATCTTGACTGGCCTGAAGCTTCTGGCGGTATTTCTCAGCCGCATTTGCCTTGCGCGCGAGTTGGTCCTTCTCAGTGCGAAGTTCGTCATAATCATCCTGCAACTTCTGATAGCGTTGGTTCTTGACCCGCAAGGACTCCACGGTCATGCGGAGGCTATCGATTTCGTCCTGAGCTGATGTCAACTTGGCCTCCTGGGAGGCGATCAAGTCGTCCTGTTGGCGCGTCTTGCTCTCCAGGGCCTTCGCGTTGAACCCAATGTCTCCCTTTCCTGACTTCAAAGTGACCAGGCGGTCCTCGGTCGAGGCCAGCCGGTTTTGCAAGGTGTCGTTGTTCTCCTGAAGACGTGCCAATCGGTTGTGTAAATCCTCCAGTGCCTTCTCCAACTCTTTCTTCTCGTGTGTGAGACGGTCGTTCTCAGCCAGGACCTTGCCGACGCGTTCCTCAAACTGCAGTTCCAAATCCACGGGGCGATCGTGTCGGGCCAGATCTTCTCTCAGCTCGTCCGCCGCGTCCATGGGTTCGTATTGTCCATTGTGGGCTTCCTCGATGATATCCTTGAGTCCCTCCTGCGTCGAAGTACTCAATTCCTGAAGTGTTTGCACATACGTTCCGGCGTTGGGGGAGCTGATGGCTGCGATGAGGAGAAGCTTCAGCAGCTTGTTGGTCTCCTTCCCTGATCCCTTTTCTGCGATCGATTCGAGGTCGGGGGACGGATCGAGACCGGAGGGCAAGGTATCGTCGTTCTGGTGTCGAATGTAGTTGAGCAGTAGTTTGTGGATGTGCTTGAGGTTCTGCCACTTGGCGACCCAATGGTCAGAGGCACTGCGCTCTGGGATTTCCTCGAGGAAGTACTGAGGGTCAATATCCTGGAGGATCTCCCAGAGAATGATACCGTCGGTCAACTCCTCTGTGGTTCGGAGGGTCTTGCCCAGGGAGAAGCTGTTGATCCACTCCAACAGGACTTTAGTCACTGTGTGTTCTGAGGCCATGATTGCAGCAGAGATGAGGTTCAAGAGCCCAATGGTAACATTTCCCCTGAGGCGAGTCGACAGTTTCAAGGGAGTTTGAGGGATCCACGCGCTTGGGGCGGAATCAGCTAGCGGGGGAAGATCGGCCCTACGCGAATTCACTTCCGAGGTGATTTTAGTAACGGAGTTCTCTATATTGTCTATCACTTGTTACTGTGGATTGTTTACACATATTCTAGACGAAACCTAACCATCTATACTCCGTACACAGTACAGAGTAGTTGTGTACCTCAGAATGGACATGTCAGATGTATTCAAATTGCAATAAACAGATATAACCCCAATATAACACCAATTACATTCCCTTGAGCCCAGAAACCCAATGCGCCTTTCCCAAGACGCCGGCTTCCATAGATAACCACAGTATCCCCGAGGCAATGATCCGTATGGGTCGCACCCGATGTATATGCCTGGGATCTGCGCGAGACTGAATCAAATCAAGAATGCAGAATGCAGAATGCAATATGCACAATGCAATCAGAATGCAGCAGCATACTCTCCATTCGCATTCACCACCTTATCCTCTTCGATTTCTGGGTGGTATTTGGCGTCCTGGGTGGAGAGAGACTGGATCGCGCTGGCGGGAGCCTCGGCAGCAAAGCCGCTAGAGCCATGGTTAAAGATGATTCACGAGAGTTGAAGGTGGTCATACTTGATCAGAGCTATCGAAAAGAACAATGTCAGCGCTTGTACTCATAAGTATTCATAAGATCGCTTCTGGGAACTTACTGTATTCATGAGTGATCACACCTCCCTGTTGAGTGTTAGTTACACCAGACCAACCTGCTAGCTAAGGTGCCATGTCCTGCGTACTGAAGCCACCAAGGAGTGTTTGGCCTCGGAGATTACTGAATCAGGCGTTCCTTTGGGAAACGTGATGACGACGGATTTGAGGGAGGCTGCCAATGCCAGTGGCAAGGCCAGGAAAGCTGTAATCACAGAGTATTTCATATTGCTAGTCTGAAGTGATGAGAGTGGTGAGTAGAGTAATCAAAGAGAGGGGTGTAGAGTGAGCAGAAGTGAGAGTGGCGGATCACATGATCTCCCCGTCTCCCCGTCTCCCGCCGTTCGACCTTCACTTCTCTCTCTCTTCTTTGTATTCTCTCGGATCTTGGGCATTGGTAGTTTAGGGCTCAGTTTATTCTGTTATAGCTAGCAAGCATTTACAGACTATTTCTCCATTGTGTTGACCCAGGAGGCATAAGAAAGAGAATTGTCTCGATAGTTTGAGAGCTAAACACAAGGTCAAGAGAGAACTGAGATCGCAGGGGACAAGAACAAAACAAAAGACACAGCCCTGAGGAGAAAGAAAAAAAAAGACACAGAACCACTTTGACTTCGCCTTAGACCCGTCGCATATCATGTCTGGCCTCGTCTCCGACGAAATCGCAGAGGACTACAAGAGTTCGCTGGAAGATCTCACCTCTAACGATGGCATTCAGATCCGGACCTTGACGGTCATCGCCAAAGAAAACACCGAACACGCCATGGCTATCTCTCGGGTCTTGGAGAATCACATTCGATCAGTATGTTTCCCATCGGGTCTGGAAAGGCTTGTGCTAACGGAAGGTAGACACCACCGCAGCAGAAGCTCCCGGCGCTGTATGTAGCCGACTCCATCGCCAAAAATGTCGGAAGTCCCTACACTTTGTTTCTGGGTCGCAATATGTATCAGACATTCATGAATGTCTATACGTTGGTGGACGGCAACACTCGACGGAAGTTGGATGAGATGCTCAATACCTGGAAGCAACCGGCACCCGGGTCGCTCGACACTCGCCCCGTCTTCCCCACGGACATCACTCGAAACATCGAAAGTGCCTTGATCAAAGCTCGCACTGCAGCCCTGCAGCACCAACAGACTCGCCCACAACCAGAGATCAATCGGGGCCGGGCAAACGGCACACCCACTGGATGGTCCAGCAGCACAACACACAACATGGCCCGGAATCAACCGCAGTACCAAGGCCATTCGACATCGGTAAGACGCCCGTCTGAACTTCCCTCATGACGCGACTAACTTCAGGAATAGACCCCTCCCCCGAATCAGCGTCAGGATATTGACTTGAGTCACCTTAATCGAGATGTGGATGCCCTCGTTGCAGCTGCAAAGGTCGACTTTGCGAACAGCCCGTTCAACCCCGTCTCTCAGCAGCGTCTGAAAGCCTTGGTGGACCTGCAGGCAATTTTGCAGTCGCAGCAGCTCAGTCAAGACCAGCTGAAATTGGTCCGCGATCAAGTCTCCCAACTTGCGGCCTCAAGGCCCCCTTCTGCAACTCCTACTCCCCTGGCAAGTGCGCCAGCAGCGCCGCCAGTGCCACCAATTTCCACCCCTCCAGTTCAACCCGCGCAACCCGTTCAACCGGTCTCACAACCGCTCCAACAATTACTCAACCCAGGTACCCTTGCCGAGCTGATCAAAGCCACTGCCTCGCGCCAGCAACCCACCCCGCCGCCCGCTATGCCACTACCACTACCTCAGATCCCTCAGCTCCCACAGAGTGGCACCCCACAGCCAGAGAACCCTCTAATTGCGGCCTTGCGGGCTCGGGGACTTCTGCCCTCAGGCCCCGCTCCCCCATCCCTTACCCCCTCCGCTTCCTCGACCCCAACTCCCGGGACAGCTACGTTGCCATATTTCATGCCCAATGGAGTTCATCAGTCAACTCCCCAACCGTTAACCCAGGTACCGGCGGCTAACGCCTCTGGAGTCCCTATGACCACCGCATCCATCAAGATCCCTCGGTTCGGACTGGTGGTTTCTCTTTATGATTCACGACCCAATCGGTGTGGAACATGCGGTCGTAGATTCTTTGCTACCGAGAAAGGCAAGGAAATGAAAGCTCGCCATTTGGACTGGCATTTCAAGACCAATCAGCGTATGACCGAATCCTCCCGACGTGCTCAGAACCGTAGTTGGTATGTCGACGAACGGGTATGTTTATCTCATTTTTCCGCGAGGGGGTTTAGTTTTAACATTTTGATAGGATTGGATCAAATCTCGCGAGGCCGGTGACGAGAATGGCGCCACCGACTCCCAAACCACCACCGAGGGCGCTGCAGGCGATGAAGCCACCAAGCAAGAGCCCTCCAAGCCCTGGATTCGGGCCCCCAACGATGCTACCCTTCGCAACACCCCGTGTCCCATCTGCCAGGAGAAGTTTGAATCAACCTGGTCTGAGGATGTCCAAGACTGGATCTGGCAGGATGCCACTAAAGTCGGACCTCGTGTGTATCATGCGAGTTGCTATGCCGAAGTCACCAAGGGTCCTGCTCCGGCTCGCCAGACCCGGACTAGCACACCTGACTCAGTTCTCGGCAAGCGCAAGGCTGAAGTAAGTGATCTGACGTGATTGTCTTGAGTAGCGCTGACCATTCATAGACGGAATCACCCAGCCAAAAGACTCGTGTGAAGACCGAGCCAGTGTAAACATATATTTTCTCATTTGCATTGCATGGCGTTCCATAGCGAATCGATCCTCTACTACTTGAGTAATCATAAACTTGCCTGCATTAATATATCTCCACCTAGGTGTCTATAGATCTATAGATATAAACTGGCTATTAACTGTAAACTAATTAATACTTAAGTATCTACTACTTAACATAGCAAAACAACAAATAGCCTAAATGACGTTGTGCCCCGCTCGGCGCATCTCCGGACTTTGTGGTTATAAATACTTAACTATCTCCAGTTCAGCATCTTCTTCTCTCAAAACACCACTCATTCATCATGGCACCACACATTGTTCGCTGGGGCATCATGGGTATGTGCCTTGAAATCCGAGAAGCTGTCTATATGCTAATTCTATAGCCACCGGCTGGATCGCCGAAAGTAAGATCTATATCGAAACCCCCGCGATGTCAATTAACCCGAACAGTGTTCACCAAGGACCTCCTCGTCGACCCAAACGTCCGTGATGCATCGGATATAGCCCACCAAATCGTGGCCGTCGCCTCATCCTCCTCCAAAGCCAAAGCCGAGCAATTCATCTCAGCTCGAGGCATCAACACCGCCTGCTCTGCATATGGGGACTACGAGGCTCTGGTAGCAGACCCCAATGTGGATGTCATTTATGTCGCAACTCCACACTCGCATCACTACCAGAATGTGAGACTGGCCTTGGAGGCTGGTAAGCATGTGCTCTGTGAGAAGGCATTCACAGTCAATGCTGCGCAGACTAAGATCCTGGTCGAGATTGCCCGGAAGAAGAACCTCTTCCTCATGGAGGCTGTTTGGACTCGCTATTTCCCGCTGAGTATTCAGATCCGGGAGCTGATTCAAAAGGGTGAGATTGGTGAGGTTCTTCGCGTCGTGGCTGATACGAGCTTTGGTGATGATGTCGAGGAGAAATGGGGTACTACTCACCGCATGGTCAATCCTGATCTGGCAGGTGGTTGTCTTTTGGACTGTGAGTGATATGATGTGACTCTGGTCACTTCCCGGAATTGGTCCCGGAACCGATGCAACAGGAATTCATCGATTGACGTATTCAGTGGGCATTTACTCTTTGACCTGGGTCTTCCAGACCCTCTACCACACCCTACCCCGTGAGCAGAGGAAACCACCTACTGTCTCCTCGCAAATGACTCCATACCACCTAACTGGTGCAGATGAGTCTACCACCATGCTTCTCAGCTTCCCAACAAGCACCCCCTCCAATGGCCCACACCCCCAGCAGTCGCATGGTATTGCCATGACCAACATTCGGGTCTCTGCTGACCCGGACGAGAAGGGCTCTGCTGGTCCCTCTATCCGGATTCAAGGAACCAAGGGCGAGATCCAGGTATATGGTCCTCCATTCCGCCCGGAAAGTTACCGGGTTATCCCTAAGAAGGGTGCGGGTGAGATCCGTGAAGTGCAGTGCCCATTCCCAGGTAAGGGTCATGGTATGTACTGGGAAGCTGATGAAGTTGCTCGGTGCCTCCGGGATGGCAAGCTCGAGAGCGAGGGTTTGCCGTGGGAGGAAAGTATCGTTATCATGGAGGTGATGGACGAGGTTCGAAAGCAGGGTGGCTTGACCTATCCCCAACAGATCGAGTCGACTGAGTATCCTTTGAAGCTCTAGAGGGAATATGGACGTGTAAATAGGATTAGATCAAATACGACCTGTGGCTTTTCAGTCACCACAAGTTGACTAGTGTGTGATGGTTAAGTACTTATAAAAGAGTAGAAAATTCAAGTCAATGCATGTCTCGAGTGTATTTGGTACTCCAAAGGTACACACATACTACTATACATGGCGGTTCGGGGATCAACCCAGGTCTATACGTGGACAAAAACGCCAGCCATGCCTCCGTAGTGCCCAATTAAGAAAAACAAAAGGAAAACGGTAGGCATTGCGAAGCCTGGACTGGTAAATTGTCCCAAATCACCCCTCCAAATCCCTTTTTAAATGTAACCCGTACACAACCGCTTACTGGCGGAAGACACCAAGAATGCTCTTCCAGACCTGACCGGGCTCCTGGCTGGCATCAATACCACGCCAGATACCGGTCTTCTTGTAGTAGCCCACAACCGGGGTGGTCTGGGCGTGGTAGGTAGCCAGACGCTTGGTCAGGGTGTCGGCATTGTCATCAGAGCGCTGGATGAGAGGCTCGCCGGAGACGTCGTCCTTCATGTCATCCTTGGGAGGGTTGAAGATCTTGTGGTAGGAACGGCCGGAGGCAGGGTGGACGAGACGACCGGTGATACGAGCCACCAGCAGGGAGTCATCGATCTGCAGCTCAATGGCGTGCTGGAGCTTCTTCTCCTGGCCCAGCATCTCATCGAGACGCTCAGCCTGGGCAACTGTGCGGGGGAAACCGTCCAAGATGAAACTGTTGACGCGTGTTAACACCAACTTTTGACCGAGGATCACTGAAAACACAAGAGATAGGATCTCTCACTGGGGGATTGAGGTGTACATACCCGTTCTTGCACTCTGAGTTGGTGTCAAGCTCGCTCTTGATCATGTTGACCATGATCTCGTCGCTGACGAGACCACCCTGGTCCATGATCTTCTTGGCCTCCTTTCCGAGGTCGGTCTTCTTCGCGACCTGAGAGCGCAGCATGTCTCCGGTAGCCTAATGCAGAAATCTGTGTCAGCGATTGAGTTCATGCTGTGTTTCGACCAACTTCAACTTACCAGGTGGCACGCGCAGTACTTCTCCTTCAGGTTGGGGGCCTGAGTACCCTTGCCTGGACCTTGTTAATAACTGCCCTTGCCCCGGATTGTACTCAATCGCATACCTGCACCAGGAGGACCCATCAGGATGATGCGCATCTGCTCGGCGACAGACTTGGGCTTTCCGCCATTGGCGAGACGGCCCTCGAGCTCGGACACCTTAGCCTCCAACTGGTTGATGGTGTTCTTCAGGCCAGAAACGGCCTCTTCAGTGATGGGAGCCATTGTGAATAAGAGAGGAGAGTGATGGATGAAGAGAGGAAAGACGGGAAGCCGGAGAAATGGGGAAAGGAAAGAATCCTAGCGCCCGAGGTTCGGAGCACGGGCTTCACCACTCGTATACTGTCTTTACTTGTTCATTACTACTTACGTATGGCTGTTGATTGACTATGCAGATATATAAGATTATTTTCTGTATATTTCCTTTAGTCTTTTTTTAAATATCAATCCTTTAATAATAAGCAATTCCCCTGCTAATACTATATACTCTACAGTGTATGGAGTATGGTGTTCCTGTTCAGCCACAGCTGACTAACAGTCTGTGGCGGAGAGCTCCTGTGCATCATCGCTCTCCATCTCTCGTCTCACATTAGCTATTCCCTCCAACCTGTCCTTTAAGCTTCAAGCTTCAAATCATCTGCATAGCTTGAATTTTCCCTTGAGATTCCCCCCCTTGCCCTTTCACGATGCCTGCCACCACGGCGGACACGCTATCCCTCGTCAACCGTTCCGTTACGGTTGCCCCGTTAGTCCTTCTCTCTGTCGCAGATCACTATGGACGCACAGCAAAGGGTACCCGGAAGCGTGTCGTGGGTGTGCTGTTGGGAGAGAACTCGGGTGATAATGTCCGTGTATCAAACAGTTTTGCCGGTCAGTACAAGCTGGGATCCACAAAGAAGATTCGCTGACAAGGTACCTAGTTCCATTCGAGGAAGATGAGAAGGACCCATCGGTGTGGTTCTTGGATCACAATTTCGTCGAGTCCATGAGGGACATGTTCAAGAAGATCAATGCTCGTGAGAAGCTAGTCGGCTGGTACCACTCAGGTCCCAAGCTTCGTGCCTCGGACCTGGAAATCAATGAACTCTTCAAGAAGTACACGCCCAACCCTTTGCTGGTCATTGTCGATGTGCAACCAAAGGAAGTTGGCGTGCCTACAGATGCCTACTTCGCCGTGGATGAGATTAAGGATGTGAGTTTTTTTTTTTGACACGCGCACTTGGACTGCGACTTGAGCTGTGAACTGACCCTTCGTTTCTAGGATGGAACCACAACCTCCCGAACATTCGTGCACACCCCATCGATAATCGAGGCCGAAGAAGCAGAGGAGATTGGTGTGGAGCACCTCCTCCGAGACATCAGGGACGTCGCAGTCGGCACCCTCTCCACTCGTATCACGTCGCAGCTGCAGTCCCTGCAAGGATTGCACCTGCGGCTACGCGATATCGGGCAATACCTCCAGAAAGTGCTGGACAAGGAACTTCCGGTCAACCACGCCATTCTGGGCAACCTCCAGGATGTCTTCAATCTCCTTCCCAACTTGTCCACCCCACCCGCGACACAGCGGATCAGCGGTCAGGAGCCCCAGGTGGAGAACAGCGAGTTAGCGCGGGCCATGAGTGTCAAGACCAATGACCAATTGATGGCGATCTACATCAGTAGCTTGATCCGGGCCATCACCGCCTTCCACGACTTAATCGAGAACAAGATTCAGAACCGACAGCAGCAGGAAGAGAGTGACACCAAGCGGGAGCAGGAGAAGGGCGACAAGGATACCAAGAAGACCTCAAATGAGGACGAGGAGAGCTCTGAGAAGAAGAAGAACTAAGGAGTTAAATTCCTCGAACGATCGAATAATGTGACATTTAGATTCCTATGCCATTTTGACCGATATGAAGTAGATAAACAGTCGTAATATATTGGAATAGGGATTCCAGGGTTTGGCGTAAAACGATGTAGTGCCGGCAAGTAATTGTCATCTCCCAATGCAGCCGTTCTTGGGACGGGTCACAGCAGCTCGACGAGTCAGGATCTCATTCCCATCCAGCACACCAACCTGCCAGCTCCTCCTTGGAAATAGCAAGGGTACCCGTGTCGTCCAGTAGAGTGGGACAGCGTGCATATAGCAGACAAGCTAGAATGTGTTTGCAGACGGGGACCTCTGTGCGGGCTATGGTCCCGCCAAAGGGGTACGGTCCAGAGGGGACATGCGCTGTCTGACCAGTGTCTGAGCGATATGCAGCGAGGGTAAAAGCCGCACAGCTACAGTTCCAGGCGTGTAATCGAACCTCGTAGGTGTGGGATGAGGAGACGAGGAACAGTTCTGTGAGGCCGTGGCGAACGCGCTGGACCAGTTTGCGGTCGAGGAGATCTAAGGCGGGAAGAAAGTCGTTTGGAAAGAGACAGTGAAAGGTCAACATGCGAGATTTGATGTCGGGCACATCCAGTAAACGATCAAGAAAGTCCATTGTAGAGAGTAAAGAGTAACATTAAAAGAACGAAAAACATGTAGAAGCTTATTCCCTGAATTATACTCCATCTCCATCTCCATCTCCTCCATCTCCATCACCGTCCCCATCGTCCCCGCCATCGCCAGCTGGTACTACTACCATTACCTTGGCCTTCGCTTTGCCTTTTGCTTTGCCTTTTTTGCCCTTCGCTTTGCCCCTTTTGCCCTTGGCTACTCTGGTGGGAGTAGTCTTCCTGATAGCCGCTGCATTCTCGGGATGTAGATAGTTGGTGGCCAGTCCTTTCATCCGCATATCCAAGGAATAGTTGCCATCTGCGTCTTTTAATGTGACTCGCAGTTGGCCTCGGTGCTTCCTCTCCTTCCAGACTTGCCTGACTTTCTTCTTCCCTTCCTTGTCTCCATCTTTAGCTGCCTCTCCATCTTTGGCTGCCTCGTCCTCGACTGCCTCTCCGTCCTTGGGCACCTCACCGTCCTCGGGTACATCACCGTCTTTGGGCGCCTCTCCATCTTTGGCTGTCTCTCCGTCCTCGGCCTCTCCCTCCTCGACTGCCTCTATCTCCATAACATCCTCATCACTGTATTCCTCTTCCTCTTCAGCCTTCCTCTTCTTGGCATCCCTCTCATCGGCCCATTTGTTCCACTCTGCTTTCCTCTTAGGGGCTCTGGCGTTCCATTGCCTTTGAGCCTTCTTTAGATTGTTATCCAAGAGCTTAGCGATGTCTGCTAAGAGGGCTTTTGCATCTATCCCTTTCCCATTGCTTCTCTCTTCCTCCGAGTCTTCCTCTTCTCCATCGCCTTCCTCTTCCTCGTCACCTTCTTCTTCTTCTTCTTCTTCTTCTTCTTCTTCTTCTTCTTCTTCTTCTTCTTCTTCTTCTTCTTCTTCTTCTTCT